TGACATTTCTTAATAACACTGTCCTTCCTGCCCAGGATAAAAATTTGTTATTCCAACTCTTAATTCTGCAAAAAATATGTTCCCGGAGATACCTTAGAATAACATATTTATTTCTCCCAACGAGGGCCGGCAACCCCAAGTATAGATTCTGCCCTCCTTCCCGGTTAATTCCAAAAAAATGGCAACAATTATCTCTGAAAAGTTCACCCACATTTGGGATAAAAGACAAAAAAGACTTACCAAAATTCACCATTTGACCTGAAGCCTGCTCATAATTTTGTAAAATATTCTTTATTGCGGTACAGCCGGCCTCCGATGCCTTGAAAAATAAAAAACAATCATCTGCAAATAAAAGATGGGAAACTCTGGGAGCCCCCCCGACAAACCGAAATCCCATGCACACTCCCAACCTGCTCAGCTCTCCTAATCATAGCACTCAAACCTTCTGCCACAAGAATAAATAAATAGGGTGACAGTGGATCCCCTTGCCGTAGCCCTCTACCCGGCCGAATAGGACCTAAATAATCCCCATCAAACTGAACAAATTAATTAACAGTGGTGACACACGTCATTATAATATTCACCCATCTGTCCGAGAAACCCATTCGAACCATTAGCAGCTTCAGAAAACTCCAACTAACCCTGTCATATGCTTTACTCATATCCAACTTCATAGCCACAAAACCCTCCTTACCAGTACTTTTTCTTTTCAGAAAATGCTGAGTTTCAAAAGCTACTATAATATTATCAACGATAGACCTCCCTGGGATGAACGCGCTCTGGTTATCACCAACCAGACCCCCCAAGATAACCTTCAGCCTATTTGCAATGACTCTAGAAAAAAATTTATACACAACATTACACAAAGCAATAGGTCTCTAGTCTCCCATAAACTCAAGTTTATCCTTCTTTGGTATCAAAACAATATTAGTAGTATTTAATTCCACCGGGAGAGACCCTGAAGAAAAAATACATGTACATAATCGGAACACATCAGCCCCAATAACGTCCCAGAATTTCTCCCGTCTGAGCCAGGCGCTTTCTCCGGATGCATATAAAAAATAGCTGCTCTGACCTCCTCCTGGCTGATAGGCTCAAGTAATTTATCATTTTGCTCTGCCGAAACCTGAGCTAGATTATATATATCATCCCAATGTACCTCAGGGTCTCATTCATTTTCATTTCATTTTCATTTACCCCAGTGCCGCAAAAGGCTCCCACCTACGGTGGGGTAAGCGGGGGTCGGATGTACGCAGTCTTACCCCTGTACTACACCACAAAGAGACTGTTTCCGGATGACCCATAGTGAAAATCGCGTCCAAAATTGCATGGATTGACTGCTGCTTCATAACAAAGAAGCACAGACAGTTTAGTGAGTCACTTTGCTTTATTCCATCATATTCTCAAGCCAAAAAATAATGAATCTTTGGCTCCATTGCAAATGTTGGACAAAATGTACCTCAGGGTCTCCAGCCTGAAAAATATTCTCAAAGTACGGTTGCACCATATCTCCCAGTTTTCTTCTTTCAGTAACCCATGTTCCATCCGGACCCCATAAGCCCTGCAGCTTATTCCGTCTCCTCCGTTGTTTGACCGCGTTGTAAAAAAACGCGAGTTTATGTCACCCTCCTTGAGCCAGAACTCTTTAGCTCGTTGCTTCCAACATAGATGCTCCTTCTCCATTAACCCTTGAATTACTGTTTTGAGCCTCAAGAATTCCCCCATCCCAACAGGATCAGTTCGCCCCCTCAAGCTAACCAGCCTTTTCTTACAAGCCTGAATATGGTGCCTAAAGCCCTTCGGTCTACAACTGTCCCATCTCATTAATTCTTTTCCGCAAAAGATAATGCACTCACTAACCGTCAGGTCTGTCCCTGCACTCCAGCTATTCACCACCACCGTCCGGCACTCTTCTTCCCGGAGCCACGGGTTTTCAAACCGAAACACCTTTGGTTTTCTCCCGTGTACTGTTGGCTTAACGCTAATCCATAGGGCCATATGGTCACTCGCCAGTGCCTCCACCAAAGACGCTTGCGCTTGCATAAAGTTGTTCCACCAATCATCATTAACAAGGATGCGGTCAAGTTTTTCCTCCACCCAATATGTCTTCCCTTTTCCCCTCTCCCAAGTCCATTGATAACCTTGGAAAGGAAAATCTCGAAGACCGCTGTTCATAACCGCCTCCCTGAAGCCTCTAAGTCTCCATTCCGGATGAATGATATTCCCTCTCTTTTCGGAATCATTTAGGATGTCATTGAAATCCCCTATAATCATCCAAGGAAGGGTATTATCTTCCGCCAAATCACAGAGCATGTTCCACGCCTCCCTCCGCCGAACCGTGTCCGAAAAGGCATAATAGCCCGTTAATCTCCAAACTTGTGCTCCTACCTCCAGCCGAACGAAACAATCGATGTAGTTGAGACATGAAGCCCGAACTGTCAATTCGATGTTATCCTTCCAGCCAAACGCTAGTCCTCCACCAAGCCCCTCACAATCAACCCCTGCAAACTGGCCGAACCCCAAATTCCCCATGATTGACTTGGCTCGCAGACACCTGGTTTTCGTTTCCATGAGGAAAGCATACATCGGGCCTATGAGATTGAACAATGTCTGTCACCCCTTGGATAATGAGCCCATTCGACAGTCCACGGCAATTCCAACTAACCACACTCATCGAGAAAAAACTGAGAGAAGCTGGACCTGTGATCGGAGACCACCGCCGGAAAAAAGGCCGGACTAGTGATCGGAAATCACCGCCGGAAAAAACCCTAGGACAACCTAGGAGACGACCGCCTCAAATAATAGCATAGTTTAAACAACACAACAGAGAGAATACTTATCATGATACCTGAAGTCCTTTCAAAAAAAATATTGATAACTGAGGATGAATGAATGAAGAACGGCGAAGTGCAGAGTCGAGAGGCAGAGCCAAAGGTAGAAGAAGCCACCCCTTTCTCTAGTGATATTTGAGCTGGGGAGTCCAATTGTCTTTTACGTAATAGTAAGGAGACTTATTTAACATTTTCCCGTTTTCCCTAGATGTTACTCCCTAGTATATATCATACCACTCATATATTACTCATTTGAGAAAGAAAATCTTAAGAGTCTTACTTTGGAAAAATAACCATTTTTATTCATATTTGAGGAATCTTTGGGCCTGTTTACTAACAGAGATATTTTCCAATTTTCTAGAAAACTGGAAAACTGGAAAACAGAAAACAGGAAACGTGTTTACCAAAGAAATTCCTGGAAAACTGGAGAAATGAAAAAAGAAAAACGTGTTTACCAAACCGTTTTCCAAAACAAGAAAAAATGAGACATGTCTCTCTTTTCCTTAATGATTTGGAGAAGTGACTTTTACTAGTTTTCCAAATTTGGAAAACGCAGATGCTACAGTGCCGCTGCAATGAATTTGCATACTTACACCTAGTGGTGGGTCCGGTCCCGCTCCGATAACGATTCCATTCCGGTACCTCCATCCTCGTACCTTACCCCTTACCCCTACCCTACCCTACCTTACCCACCCACCCAACCCCACCCTGCATACCCATTTTTCCCTATAATGACACCTACCCCACCCCGGCCCCACCCCGGCCACCCTACCCTACCGCCACCCCTACCACCTCGACCCCACCTTACCCTACCCCACCTTACCCCTTACCACATGCCCCAATCTCGGCCCCACCCCACCGCCATCCTACCCCCACCCTCGTACCGCCATCCTACCCTCACCCTTCCGCCATCCTACCCCCACCCTACCCTTCCCCTACCTCGGCCCCACCTAGATCCCGGGCCCACCCTACCACCTCGACCCACCCTACCCTACCCCCACCCGTATATTACCCCTTACCCCTTACCACATGCCCCTACCTCGGCCCCACCCCACCGCCATCCTACCCCTACCCTCGTACCGTCATCCTACCCCCCACCCTACCCTTCCGCCATCCGACCACCATCCTACCCCCCCACCCCTACCCTTCCGCCATCCGACCACCATCCTACCCCCCACCCCTACCCTTCCGCCATCCGACCACCATCCTACCCCCACCCTACCCTTCCCCTATCTCGGCCCCATCCAGATCCCGCGCCCACCCTATCGCCATCCTATCCCACTACCCCTACCTTGCCCCAACCCCAACCCTACCCACTACCCCCCACCCTTACCGCCATCCTACCCCCTACCCCTTCCCTACCTCAGCCCCACCCTGGTCCCGGCCCCACCCTACCGCCATCCTATCCCAACTCCATACCCTACTACCTCTACCTTACCCCAAACCCTACCCACTACCCCACCCTTACCCCTAACCACGACCCTAACCCACCAACTACCCCCACCCAACCCCCAACCCCTAGACCTTACCACCCCACCCCGACCATACCCCTTACCCCACCCCCACCATAACTTCCGTACCCCGACCCCTACGAGTAGGTATGGGTGGGTAAGAAGGGTTGTGGGGGAGTATGGGTAGAGTGTAAGATTATGGTAAGGATAGAGGTCAAGGGGCATGGACCCGGTTCGGGCCGCCCGGGCCGGGACCGGCCCGGCCCGCCACTGTGCGGGCCCGGAACCGGCCCGGTTCTCGGGTCCGGGTCCGGGTCGGGCCTAGGCCCGGTGGGGGGGGGCGGGTCCGGGCTCGGGCCTTGTATTTGGCGAACCGGCCCGGCCGGGTTGGGCCCGGGCCCGGGCCGAATTGATGTTTTTTTTTTGTTTTTTTTTTCATTTTTTGGGGTTAGTTGGGTTGGGCTTGATGGTTAGGAGGGGTTTGGGGGGTGGGGGGGGGGGGGTTAGGAAAGCAAAAAAAAAAAAAATTATGACCGAACCGGAGGCCCGGCCCGGCCCGGACCCGGTGGCTACCCGGCCCGGTCCCGGGCCTTCCTTCCCAAAAAAAAGCCCGGCCGGGCCCGGCCCGGCCCGGGTCCATGACTAACTCAAGGGTGTGGAATTGGAGAACATGTTTTCAGATTTGAAAATGGAAAACTAAAAAATAGAAACAGAAAATTGGAGATAGAAAAACTGAAAAATAAAAACAGAAAATTGGAGAACGAAAAACAGAAGTAGAAAACAGGAAAATATCTCTATTAGTAAACAGACCCTTCTTTTTTGTCTAAAGGAATCTTCCTTTATTAAAAGAAGAAAGGTCTAACAAAAAAATCCTCTTCAGTCAACGAATGGTTGAAAAAAGTCAGCCATAACTAAACACCATTAACACCTAACTAACCTCAAAAAAATTAAACGACTAATCCTTCTTTCTTCATTGCTTGGGGCTAAACTTTCTGTATTGATGCCAACCCTTTAGTTCGATTTGCGTGATCTGCCGCCGCTGACGCCGGCGAAACGATGGGATCCACCACCGATACGTCAGCGGCTTCCTCCACCGTCACCACCGCTTCCCATCATACTCCCTCCCACCACATCCTGGAAATCACCCTCATCTCCGCCCAAGATCTGGCCCCCATTTCCAAATCCCAGCGCACCTACGCTCTAATTTGGGTCAACCCGAATAAGAAACGGAGCACCAATATCGACCCCAAAGGGCACACCAATCCCACTTGGAACCACAAGTTCTCGTTCCGGGTCGACGACGAGTTCCTCGGGTCCGAGGCCTCCGCCGTCACCGTCGAGATCTACGCCGTCGCCTGGTTCCGGGACATCCTCGTCGGAACGGTGCGCTTAAATGTTAACAACATTTTGACGCCGCCCTCACCGGGCATTGTTAGCGATGAGAAGAAAAACGAGAGGTTCATGGCTCTCCAGATCCGCCGGCCGTCCGGCGACCCTCAGGGGATGCTCAACATGGGGGTTGCCCTGTTCGACGCCGCCACGCGCAGCAAGCCGATCTGCAGCGACGTCAGCGCTTCTCCCTCGGATTGCAGAGATCTTCTGGAAAAGAAAATGAACAAGTTCCTTACAGGGAATGAGATCTCCGAGGAGTTCCCGGCGAATCCGGGCTCGATCTGCCGTGCGGGGTCTGCCGTGAACGGATCGGCGATATGCGGCGGATCCGAGGTCTGCTCGGACATCGGGCCGTCGGCGTCCGTTGTGGCAGCGGAGATAGCCATGAAGTCGAACCCGCCGGCGGAGCAGAGCAACGCCGGGCCCCAGAGACGGAAGGGCGGAGGAGAATGCGGAGAGAGTGTGATATTGGAGGAACTGACGGCCGAGGAAGCGGCGGCGAAAGGGATGACGAATCAGCCGGAGGTTGTGAAGAAGAAGGGACGCCTGTTTTCGTGCTACGGTTTTGAGGTCACCATTGTTTGCGGCGCAAGAAAAAAACAGAAAAACGATTAATAAATTCCGACAGGGAGATGAAAATTTTCCAGATTTTTTTTTCTGTTTTGTTTGTATAGTGAACCAAACGAACATCAACCCTCCTCCGGCCGGGCTAGTGGCCTCCGGCCTGCAGATCGGTGAACGAGTCGGCGACTGTTTTTTCTTCTTATGAAACTCTGACTTGATGATTGTTTGTTGTATTTAGTATAGCATTATTAAGAATCAATCAGTAGTTATTTATACGGAGCAATTAATAGTTCATAATTGAAATAAGATTTGTAGGAGTGTAGAAATTGCTAGAGGTTAATTCCCTCTTGCAATTCTAATCTTTTACACAACCTCATTAGTCATTATTTGGTACTCCCTCCGTCCCATTTATATTGTGCCGGAAGAGGGTGGCACGGCTATTAAGAAAAGTGGGTTTGTGTGGTTGATATTAATTGATAAAGTAAGAATAAAGTAAGAATGATTTAGAGCCACACAAACATTGCCAAATATGGTATGAGACAATATAAGTGAGACTTCCCGAAAAGGTAAAACGGGACAAAATAAATAGGACAGAGGGAGGGAGTATATAATATCATCTCATCCAATGTTATAAACTTATAATACCATTCAAATTAACTAAATTGGCTGACAATGTTACACCTAATAAAATTAGGGAAAACTGTCAAATAGGTCCTCAAACTTTCATAAAAAAGTCAATTAAGTCCTTTTATAGGAGAATCTGTCTGGTCGTCACTATTTGGGGCGGTTCCCGGTGGAATTTTTTGATGAAATTTTTTTAGCATCTTATTCATCAAGTCTAGTTTAATCATACCAAATTTCAGCTAAAAATTCAATCGGGAGCGCATTCAAATTAATTCGAGAACGCAAAAATGCGCAATTATCTTCAAGAATTAATTTGAATGTGTTCCTGATTGAATTTTTAGCTGGAATTTGGTGTGAGTAAACTAGACTTGCTGAATAAGATGCTCAAAAAATTTCATCAAAAAATTCCACCAGGAACTGCCCCAAATCACGACAGCCGGACAGAACCTCTTATAGAAGGACTTAATTGACCTTTTTATGAAAGTTCGAGGACCTATTTGACTGTTTTCCCATAAAATTATGATGATAGTAAAGCCCGCAAAGGTCGACTTTGCTGAATTTATTGAAGTATAGAAAAATTATATTTAGAATATACACCTTTATTAATAAATTAAGGGGAAGAAATTGAAAATATATAAAATGGTCATTTGCAATAATTTTGGCCATTTTTATTCAAAAAAGTAATTTTAGCCTTACTTATTTTGATAATTACATAATTCAACGCATGAAAATAGAAAATTACTATACTACTTATTTGAAGTGTTTTTCTTGTTTAAACGTGCACACTTATTTGAAGTGGTTGAAAGTAAAAATGTGATTGTGATTTTAAAACACTTGAACTTGCAGTCAGAAAGGTATCCGAGAAAGCCAATTGGAAAATAGAAGAGATAGAGAAAACAGTCAAATAGATCCTCGTAGTCTATCAAAATAGTTAATAAGTCCTCGAACTAAATAAACACTCAATTAGACCCACAAACCTTATAAAACAGTCAATTTTAACATTTAACGAGTTATGATCCGGTCGTCCGGTTACTCATCTGACCTGATGGTCATGTGTTTTTTTTCTTTTTTCTTTTGTTTTTATTCTTCCGCTGTTCTGCCTAATAACCAGGAGGCATTGTAACCAAGCATTCCAGCCCAGCTGGTTGTGATGTTACCGTGCGGCCGTGTCTAGTAGGAGGTCTCGAGTTCAAAACCCGCTAGGCACATATGGGTTCGAAACTCAATGGGTTGAGTTTCAGCCCTCATTGCTCCAGGCTCCCCCCAACCCCCTCCCACACCCCCCTGGAGTAAAAAAACAGGAGGCATTGTTCCGACATGATGCGCCCGAAGAGGAAGTTGTGGTGGAGATCATTTACTTAATGAGTTTCATGCACATTATGATTATGCACCCCCTCCCCCGAAACCAACTACAGAAAATCATTTCAAATCTACATTTGGTAATCTTATGGGGAGAGAAATAAGAAGATTCTCGCCGTTGCAAAAAGCTCGATTAACGAGCTTTCTATATATCTAACGCTTAATTTCCTTGTGAGTATGAAGAAGGGGATGACTTTGGTGTTCTCAAATGGTGGAAGAACAAAGAAGAAATGTTCTCAATTTTATTGAAGATGGCGAAACAAGTGCTATCAATGATGGTGTCAACAGTAGTTGTGGTACAAGAATTTAGCAAAGTTTGCAATGTCCTAACGGATTATAGAACGAGATTGAGCACACAATCTCTTGAGACGCTCATTTGCTTCCACGATTGGTTGAAGGCCCGACGTAGAACTCAAGAAGTTTGCATCAACAACCGCCGCACAACCCTACGAGAGTACTCTTATTGTTCCTCTCGTCAGATCGTGCAAGGCATTTAATATCATTACACTAGTAATTCCATATGAAGATAAGAATAATTTATAGAGAAAATGTTCCATAATAATACAACTGAAAAGTAATTGGATAACAGTTTGATAAAATCATTTGACGTAGTGGCACGCAGGCCCAAACTAGTGTTTTTTTATGATGAAGAATAGTCTCATGAGCAACTAACAAAATAACATATGATTCCCGAGCTGCACAAACCAAAACAAGCCTCAGATGGATCGAAAGGAGAGATTGGACTCAGGTTGTCTTCAAAGTTTCCTTGACCTACAAATCTGTGTTGGGTCAGCTTGTGATACTGCCAAGATCCTCCTACTCAGTATACACACCTTCTCACCAGAAGGGTTTTGTAAAAATGTTTGATAGTAATATCATAAGTCATATAACAATTAACCACATAGTCTATTCCAGGTAACTATGTAAAATACTTAGCGTATATGCTAGTTTTATTTAAGGATAAAATATTTCACATAAAATATGTGACTTCTACAGCATCAATATGCCTAGCAAGGCAAACTGTAATAGTGACTTATTGACCGGTTAAGTACAAACATGCACATTCTACGGAAGATGACTTATCCGCTCGGCTTGTCCAACCTAACAAGGTTACTAAGACCCCGACACCATCGTCTCAAGTCATAATCCGAATCTAATTCCTAGAGAAGTTAACTTGTCCACTGGCTTGTCCAACCTGATGAGGTTACTAAGACCCCAAACACCATCGGCTCAAGTCACAACTCAAAATCTAATTCCCTGAGAAGCTAACTTGATCGCTGGCTTGTCCAACTTGACGAGGTTACTAAGACCCCAAACACCATCGGCTCAAGTCACAACTCAAAACCACGACGTCATTTTCCACCTCGTACATGGAGCAATCGAATCCAAATGTACGGTCACTTGCTATCCACCCCCGCTGTACTCAAAATTTGGAGTATTGGTAGGTTCCTATTCTACACCCTAGTAGAATAATGTTCTTATGCTAATATGTATATTTTGGCGCAGTCAACTTCAAAAAATGATTTGAATGCCTTCGCGATCGAATTTTGAGCTGAAATTTGGTATGGACAAACTAGACTTGATGAGGAATATACACAAAAATTTTGAGTAAAAAATATCACCGGGAACCACCTCAAATTGAGGTGGCCGGACACGGGAGTGGTCCGGCCTGGCCGGACACGGGAGTGGTCCGACCTGGCCGGACCTGAATACTCCTCTCCCTCTCTCTGTATATATATATATACATATATATATATAGATAGATTTTGGTTCAAATGAGAACGAGTCTTAACGTGAGAACGTGAGAACATATCACAACCCTTCATTTGGATGCATCTCACGTAAGTATTGATTAAAATGATAAGGGCAATTTTGTATTATACTCTGGGTTAGTTTTTTAGGAATGAAATCATTATATTCCATTATTTCTCCATGTTCAACGTGAGACATATCCCCATTTTTAATAATGTTGTAATCTGAGTGCATTAAGTATTAGTTATTCAAAGTGAGAAATATTGAACTTCCGTAAGAATATTAGTCATGTGCGTTAAATACAAGTTTTTGTGCGGTAGTTAGAGATGTAGTGATTTATTGTATACATATATGTTCGGTATTGAATTTTTGTCTATACGTGTAATGTGTGTTAGACACCGATTCATGTGCATTATATACTATTTTTTGTTTTATAAAGCCCTTAAAATGTTAAGATATTCGTAAGTTTTTAATGGTTGTGCATTAGATGTTAGGTTTTATGCATTAGATGTTGGATTTTGTGCTTATGATATCAGTCCTAATTTTTTGTTATATGTGTAGTGAGTTAGATACTAGTTTTGTGCATTATATACATGTATAATTTGTATACTCTCTTGTGCATTAAATATCAGTTTATATATATTATACTCCGTATATGAAAGGTATCACTTTTTTTGCTGAACTTTTTGGTAGCTATTATTTAGAACGAGACATGTTCATATGCATTAGATATTGGTGATTATGCATTAGATATATGCTCTTGTGTATACGATAGCTAGAGATGTTTGGTGTGCTTTATTGTATACATCTTATACATATTTTATTTTTAAAAATTATATAGGTGATATTGGTGTCATATGAAAGATAATAAAAAGTTATATAGTTTGGTATAATTTTTATTTAAATCAGATCATCATTTAAAAAGTTAAATCAATTTTTAAACTAAAGTAATTTTACATGATTTGAGTTTTATTATTAGCTACTTTTTAGGGAGATGACAAACGTGTGATTTTTTTAAATTACTATGGTGCCCTCTATCTAAGCTACGGTTGAATAGAGAATGGATGGTTATTTTTTAAGTGGTTGCACTCCCACCGTACAACCGTGCACCTACTCCTTTAATGACCTTTGATTTATCAAGATCTATGGTTAAGATTTGTTCTTATTTTTCACAATAAGGAGTGTTCTCATTAGAACCGCTCCATATATATATATATATCTTACTATATACATTAAGCGCCTAAGATAGTTAGTTGGCCTATTTCCGTGTGTGCAGTGCTCGACGGAAACTTCGTTTTAGCGCAGAAGAAAACTAAACGCCTGTTACCGTCTTCTTCCCTCACTTCCGACTTTTCCTGTGGCTGGGAAGAACGCTTGCTCCTGTTTCTTCCTGATTCATCAATTGAGATATTATCTCTTTCTTTTCGCTCTTCCATAGTTTCATCTTTCGTGGTCAGACGCTCTACCTTCTCTCTTAATTCACCCGATGCCTGTGTGCGGATGGGTTTCTTCGTGGTCAGATGCTCTACCTTTATCGGACATAGGCGACCCTATGAAATGTATATCTACGGGGTTTCTGGCAACTCTGCCGGGTTTCCTTCTCGCAAGATGAAATCCAGGTTTTATCCTCTACTTTCTGTTACTCTTTTGTTAATTGGGACCTACCCTATTGGCCGCCTCCCTCTGGCCGCCATTCGGAAGGCCTTGGAGGCCCTAGGGTTTTCTCAATTTCGACCCAAAACCAATGATGCTCCAACCCTCTTTGGATGCTGAGGTTACTGTTGCCAGAATACACACCCTGAGTGTGTAAAGGAATAATCTGCAGCCCCAACTGTCAACAATAACTTGACCATTTCTAATTCACTCATTAAGGGGACTCCACCTGACACTGACTATGATAATTTATGAAATGCTAATATTGCTTGTAATGCTCTTGTTATTTGTGATGCTTCTGTCCCAGTTACTGATAATGAAAATGTTCTGGTTGTGAACTTTTCTGTAAAAGATGGCCCTGCTATTGATTGTGAAAATGCCCCTGTCCCTATTACTGATTGTGAAAATGTTGCCCGTGAGAAAGTTGCCTGTGATAAGAGGATTGCTCTCTATGATGAATTTGTCCCTTAGATTACAACAACTACATCCGATATTTCCCTTGCTGCTGATGATGCTTCTGAGGCTTAGAAAGAATATGAGGCCCATAAGGTTAACCTAAGGTCCCTAAGGTTAATAGTGTCAATGCTGACTTGTGACAATGTTGTTTATAGAGGGGCTGTGATGATAATTCATTTTCTTGAGCCAGTTGATGGGCATTAGGGATACACGACTCGTATCGCGGCGTGGCAACACACCGACCAGACCTGAATATCTCACGTGTTCTGTGTGTTTGCAGCCATGGCGGTGTTAGATGTTTCTCTTTAGCTGTTAATGAGCTATGTCTGAGCCTCCATTGTTGCTCATTTATGAAAGCGACTTCATTTTTTTATATATTAAATTTAGTTATAATTAATAAACAAGTTTATGAACACTTTCTTTGTGACTATTGTGGATAACACTTGTTGTAATTGATAAAAACGATATTGTAATTTAGTTATAGTTAAAATATCTATGTCTAGAAGCATTGATTCATTCTGCTATATTTTGTATTGAAGGACATGTACATGTTGCTGAAGTATTGAAGTGCCTATTCACATGCAATATGAAGTTGTAGCTGTGATGATATAAAAGGTAAAACTGTCATCAATTTTAAAAGCATTGAAGTGCCTATTCAAGTGCCTATAAGGTTGCCCTTTGTTTGTCCAGTGATGATATCAGTTCTGAGGACTCCCATACTGCAAATTTTAGTTTTTCATGTGCTACAGCTTCTCCCGTATCTTTTCCCTTCATTTGACGAAAATGGAAGGCTTTTCCTGAAAATAGAAGTGGAAAATTCTATAGGTGTCTTTATAAGACAAGTTTAGTTTGTTCACACAGTGTATATCTTAATTTTTCTGAAAAAGTTAAAATATTTTCCCGATGCTCTGAGTTTTTTGTGTGTGGGAACTTTGAGATTATGGCTGCTTCTTTGCTTCCTTTGTCTACAAGGGTAAGTATTTATCAAGTCCCCCATGGTATGGGCTGCTTCATTTGGTATGGCTTGCTTGCAAAGCTCTCATTTGACTGATTTATTAGAATGAGTGAAATAATGGTGCAATTTGACAGTCTTGATTCATTCTATTTTCTTTTTGTAGCTTAATGTATTTAGATCTTGGAACCCAAGCAAACCTATAAAGCCAAATTGTGGAGGCCCGCCATTGTCACCTGTGTAACTTGTTCAGCTTGGCATATCTTACTATATACATAAATCGCCTAAGAAAGTTAGTTGACTTGTTTCCGAGTGTGCAGTGCCCGACGGATCTCCTACGTCCGTGTAAACAGTACCCGCGCCTTGAGTACTATGTTACCAAGACAAAATCTGGATGCAGTAATTATTCTTTCCCTTTGATATATGAATAAGCAATGATGAACTGTGTGACTCCTAGCCTCTTTCACTTATGAAGAAAAATAGACAATAAGCAAATAGAAGTGTAAGAAAGTAGGAAGAAAGAAGAACGTGAGCAATAGAGTAAGTTTTATTTATTATTTGGTAGGAGAGAAATATGAGCATAAGAGAACAGAAAAAGATTCAAATTATTATTTAAGCAGACAATACACTTTATGTCTCTATGCTCCTTTAATTTTTTCCTCTCTGAGAATTTGTCCTGATTTAGGGGCCATTTCTTGTGCCAAATTCTTCTGCAATTTTCTTTATATGTTCTTCATGATCTCTCTATGGTGAGACCTTTGGTGAGAGATATTTGGAGTATGCTAGGAAAGTTAAATATAGAGTCCTTCCTTTGTTTATTAGTTTGAGATGATATGATCTCTCTACAAGATCTTTTATCTAGAGGAAAATGTCTTTTTTCTATTTATGTAACTTGCCATATACATTCTCATTCTAATGCTTTTGTTCCTTTTTCTTTATCCTGCTCTATTCTCTCTACGGTGAGAACCATCTGACCCATCTCTAATCACAAGTTGCAGCTTTGTGAATTTGAGGTGGTTTCTAACTTCATTGCCTCAACCCCCAAGTCCCCACCCTTTGAATATCTTGGTTTTATGAAGTTTGTAATCCCATAGAACTTTTTAGTTCAGCTTCTATTTTGAGTGTATAATTTCTTATTGAAAAGTTTCTTTTCCTTCATTTTTTTCACCTACTTGTATTTTCTTTTAAATTTTACTCATATCGGGTTTTCTTTTGCTTCAAAGTTTCTTTAATGGTGAAAATTTAAATGGATATCAAATGGCTGAGTAAAACTTTATTTACTTCTTTTACCTCGAGCTCCCTTTAATCTTTTTTAGAACCTCGAAAAAATGTCCAATTTCCGTCCAATATGTACAGAAATCAAGGTACTTCTGTGAACCTTTGCAGTTTATATCCAATATGTGGAGTATCAATGATTCTGGTAGTTCAATTGACATCATATTTCCCCTTCTATATATGTTTATATATTGATGCGTACATGCTTAGTTCCCCATGTCATGCTTATACCGATATATGTTGTTTGCACATATGCTTGCACATAAGAGAAGGTATTAGGATTCAATGGCTTTAATTCTCATAAACACACAACAACTAATCACATGATAATTGACTAAAATGCAGATATTTCAGCCTATTATTAGCTTAAATGCCATTACAAACATAGCCCTAAACATAATATCTTGGTAAGAGATATGGTATAGTAAATTCTTTTTATAAATAACTAACATATTTAATGATTTTGTGGTTGCTGTTTTTCAGAAGTTTGTGATTGATGCGAGCTTAATCTTGAAAGTGCATGCTTTCCATTAGTATGGAGAAATGACAGGTCAACCAGTGTTTCCTTTTAACCACACCAATTCTAACTCTTTTTTGTCAAGTTTATTGATTGAATTTCAGTGTTATTGTTTGCTAAATCTGGAATCAATCAAGTTGGGAAAAAGGCTATAAATAAAGGTACGAAAGGCAAATATGCTATATTTTTATCAATTTTGTTTGATATCTTTTAATAAACCCACTGCATATTCAACTCATTATAATCAAATACTTACAATTTCCTTTGAAATATAAGAATATATTGATTACGAAAGTGGGAAAAGTATATCACTGTTATATCTTTTGATTTCATGAATTTTCTTTCAACTCCACCCTTTTCAATGGCAAAAAACGATTATGGTGGATGAATAGAAAGCAAGTAGTTGTTCAGAAATAAATTAACACGGTTTTGTTTACTTTTGCTACCTGTTAAAAGGACGCAGTGTTATTGCTTGAAGAATTTCTCCCTCTTAAACTATAAAAGAACATTGTTATTATCATTGTTTCATGCTCTTTCCTATTCGAATTAAGCTATTTAAGTATTAGAAATCAGAAATTCGATGATTTTTTTGCTCATCTACAAAACTGGAATGTTAAGCCCGTGAAATAGAGGTAACCTATGCATCAGGGGTTTAGCCATTGTGGGAACACATCATAGTTTTGACTATTATTGGCTCCCTTTACAAAACTATTCCTAATCTTGATTAATAATTAAAGCATCTTCCTTTCACAGGCTTAACATTGGAAAAGATGCCATGGATAGGTCTCAAGAACAATGAGAGAAGAATGGAGAAACTTACAAGTTAATAGAAAGCACCTTATGAAGAGATGGGCCAAAAACAGAGAGCAGTTTGCTCAAGTTTTGAGTTCTTAACTGTTCAGACAAATAAGAGAGAAGACGTCGCCTCTCATGAGAAGGAAAGAGAGAAGGTGATGAAAACTAGGAAGCAGGAGGCAATGTAGGAGAAAGTTGAAAATCTTATTGAGGTTAAAACTCTTCATTTGCTTCTATAATTTGCTCTGTATTTCTTAATGAAAGTTTTTATTATTTACTGCATTTTCTTAAATTATTTAGTTAATTTTAGTTTTACTTTTTTTTATACACTTTAATCTCCTATGAGCAATCATTTATTGTTTTTGGTTTAACTGATCCTTTAGTGTTGAGACTGTCTTAATAAAAGTTTGTTTTAATAATGGTGATGATAATGTTTGTTAATTTGCAGAAAACGAGAGAAGAGCATAAAAAGGAAAGGAAGAAAAAATGAAAGGTACAAATAAGCCAAAGAAAGCTGCTTTTCACTCCTACGATATCTAGACTTTAGGTCTCATACAAGGTCAAGCTATTAAGATGTACACATTGATGTTCAGTTCTTTTTTAGCCACCATGCTCAGTGAGAGTTTGGGAACCCCTATTATTTCCCTAACTTGTTCTTTATATACCTACCACACTAGCTTTTTTAAGAAGCAACTTTTGATGCATCTTCTCCACATTCCTAGAATTACAAGAAGGAATTAGAAGAATCACATTATACATATAAAGTCTCTAAGGTAGTTATTCTGGTCTAATTAACCGTTACTACAACCTAAATATTTCACGATGTTTGCTACTTTCCCACTCAGAATGAGTTTTGGATGAAAATTATAATTTTTGAGACCACTGTCATCTTCCTTACTAGGACATATTGTCCAAATAATTGGTCCGGTATTACATGTAGCTTTTTTAATTGAATGTGGTTTTACTTTTCAATTTTCACATTAATTTTCCAATTAATTGAGAATGAATTTTTTACTTTTTAGCTAATCACGGGTTTTCGGAAGATACGATTGCCCCAGCAGTGCCCGTAGATCTCTTTGGAGACGCCCACCCACACATGTTTATGTTTTTATAGAAGGTAAGCCAAAATCAAGTTTGACTTTATATGGTGAGTTTTACTTTGCTTTAACCTGTAATATGAAACACATTGGTTCTAACAACTTTTAAAGTTTATGTTTATGTTTTTGATTTGATTCAAAAACATTTTAACAATAAATGTGTTTATATATTTATCTATTCTAAAAAAATATCTATTCTATTTCCCAAGTAGATTTTTTTGTGGGCATATTGTATTCCTGGCATATTTATCTTCTCCACATTCGTGGCATATTGTATTCCAGTCTATAAATTCATCCTTTGATGGGTGATAGGAACTAGAAAGCATTTCTTTTTTTATTCCAAGATTCAACCAGGAATTTATCAAAGAGCTCACCTTCTCCGATGAGCTCTTTTAAAGTTTATGTTTATTCCCGTTTTCTATTATGAATTTTGATCTCCTATTATAACAGTTTAATGGGGTTCTTCAGTTGAAAATAGCTCTTTCTTGCCTCATGTTTAGTTTTTAAATATACAGTTTTCATACTTTGTGTATGATATCTATATTAGTTTTTGAATGGGAAAATTGACATTTTTTGGTGCAACTTTTTTGTTCTTGCTTAGCTTAATTTAATGTTTCAGTGGCCAAATAAAGGATATGAAAAAGCTTTCTTGTGATGGCAGTATACATTGATACTGACACATGTAATCTTTCACCTTTTGCTTGAATGACTGATTATGCTTTATGTACTTATGTCAGTTTGCCCATCATATTTATGTTCTATGTGCTTGGCACTCTATGACTACTCATGAATGAGTGATGATACACTTACATACTATGTAAGTGTCAATTGAGTCAATTGACACTTACGTAGCCCACTGGGAGTAATATGTAATAAGTGTCAAACTTGTCAAGTAATCTTACTCTAATTTAATTTCAGGGGCAATAATGTTTGGAAGCTTTTTTATGCCGATTATGTTTGACATCACTAATTGCAAAAGAAATGAATAAATAAATGTTGGTATGGTGTTTTTGTTTTACATCCTTAAGCAGTTAAGATGGAATATATGTACTTGGGAAGAATGCAAGTTTAAAATTGATCACTGGAATTTAACACCCGGCAACCAACTTGTATATGCTTCCATTGGAGCTTTTTCTTAAATGACTCTTGTATAACTATACATTATTTTAGTTGTTAATAATACTCATTACAATTTGAATATGAAAGAAGCATTAATCTTTTTCATTGCGCTCGGAAATGAATGTCGGTCCTTAATGCTTAAATAGCCTCCACAAGATGCATTATTCATCAAGTTTACAAGTGTTATTTTTGCATATGTGCTTTTATGCTTATCGTATGTCATTCAAGGTATAAAAATATTAGCATTAAAATATATTTTCGAACTTATGAACATAATGTGTGGTTTGAAGATTTTTAGTTGTTGAGCTTCTTATTAGAGATCCCATGTGTCTATGTCATAGTTGTGTATGGTGCACATCCTCTTTTGAAAACTTATTTTGTAAATAACTTGAATTTCTTCACTCATTGACTGCTTTAGGCATTCAAAAAGTTTCATGCTTTCGTCACCGGCTTTCATGTATTTCGGGAACTAGGGTGACCTTCCTTCGGGCTTCGCTGCGTCTAGACAATATGATGTATGTCTATAAGTAAAGGATATCCTTAGACTACCCATTGATATTTTGTTTCTTTTGGTTATTTTGGTTATTACCTATCTGTAACATTGGTGTCCACATGCACCTAAACAACTTTGTTACAATGTCTACAACATTATTCCTATGTTTGTATTGTACTTTGTGCTTGTATCGTGTTTTGTTATGCCCTTTTTATCTTTTTGTTTATGTTGATGTCTCCCCCCGTTTTTTGTGATGTATTGACTCATCTTTATTATCTATGCAGGTCGCTAAAGCTTCCAACCCGCTTCTTCTCGTTTATTTCTCCGTCATTGGGCATCGTTCGTCGCGCAACGCGTGTCCAAGCTAGTATATATATATATATATATATATATATATATATATATATATATATATATATATATATATATATATATATATATATATATATATATATATAGAAAAGATCCCATGAGAAGTCCTAATTAGGCTGAAAAGTGAGAAGTGATTCCAGCCGTCCGATTAACTGCTTTGAACTGCCCGATTAGCATATGTATCTCCCGTTTCATTAATGGCAAAGTTGTAAAATTTTCAAACTTTATACCTTTTTTAGTTTTTATTAGTTCTGTAAAATCCGATTAGCTTAGGTATTTGCCGCTCACAATCCTTCTCTTTCCTCTCCCGATGCTGCATCTTATCCTTTTCATTCTTCTCCCAATCTCCTTCAAATCAATCTCCTAAGATAAAGTCTACTGATCGCTCCCTGATTTAGACACTAGGCGGATCCATTCCAGGGCAATAGGCATGGGTTGTTGTCGAGTTTTCCTGCTATGGCGACATCCTTCTCTTACTCACAGGTCCTAAATTGGCTCCATTTTATCTTGTTCAATGGAAATCAGTATAGGCATAGAAGTATAAAGGTATATTTGGTCAGGAGAAATGCTATTGCAGATTCATCTTCACGAATCCCAAATCACCACTCTCCTTCCACTCCATTTGTTCTCATAAGAATTATGGTTTTTAAGTTATACTACGTACTATGTATCTACTACCTGTTTGTTGAAATGCTCCAATGAAAAATGATATCAATAGTTTGTACTTTAAAAAAAGAATGTGTATTGAAATGCTACAATAAATTATTTATGACCTTACGATGTGTATTAGTGTATATGTGTTGTTGATAGTGGAATACAACCGAGTAAACATATGCCTTCCCAGTTTAGTATTTCTTTTTAATTTAAGGCCATTATCATTTTTTGTCGCAAGTTGGATTTCGGGCTGAAAGCATTTTGAAAATCCTTGGATTTATTGTTAGATATATTGATATTGATTTTTTATTGGTTCTGATGAATGTATTATGCAAACCAAAGGCTTTAGTGTGATAGAAGACTTGAGGACATTCACCTTCGGCAAAAATGAATACCCAATGTATGGGAGGGGCTTTTTCCCTTAGAGATTGTGTTTCATATAGGGTTGTTATTCTTATACTAAAAGTTAAGTCTTTTAAGTTACAAGTTACACCCATTCTTTTACAAGTTATTCTTGAATGTTGATTATATGGTTGGTTCTTGTTTGTTTTGTTCTTTTAAAGATGTCAAGGTTATTACCTCAAATAGTAGACCAATGTGCAAATTCGAGGTGAGTGGCTGGGTGGGTTGGACAGTCATGTGAAAGTGGCAGCTTCCTCCAAAAGTGAAGACTGTATTCTGGTAAATTTGTTCAGGTTGTCTTCCAATGACAGCAGCCTTACGAAGGAGAAAGGTTGATTGCGATGTGAAATGCGGATTATGTGGGGAGCAGGATGAGTCTCCATTCCATCTCTTTGTACGGTGTCCAGTTGCATATGAAGCTTGGTCTGTCATCGGTTTGCAGAAGTTTGGTCAGCTGAGCTGGCGAGTAGTTTCGAAGAATGGTTGCAGCTGGTTTTTTCGGTTAAGCTGGGGAACGATTTGCAGTGTTGTTTGGGGGTGTTGGGGTATATGGATGGAGCGGAATCAGAGGGTTTGGGAGAAGGTTCTTTGAGCCCGACTCAATTTGATTATAGATTATATTTGGATCTATTTATTCATCATATTGTTGTCTTTGCCATATTGTTGTACTGGTGAAACTTGAAAGGACTATGATGCAAATGTATTAGTACCATCTGTGCTCAGTACCAGTATTGTGTCTTTTGTCATGGCTATATGGATAATGGATTTGGCTGGATGGTGCAGCACTGCAACCTTTGTTGTTTTATTGATGCAAAATATTATTAGTCCATTTTCTGGAATGGATGACAAACAATAATGCTTTGATATAAATTAAGTTTGTGCTGAGTTTTCAAAAAATAAAAAAGATAGAAATCAAATTCAACATTGTGACCTTGGAATTCAAGAGAAGCTAGGGAAAAAGTGGACCTTTCCACATGATAAAGGCCATACTCAATTGGAGATATACAACTGGAGAATTCCTGGTAATTAACAAGTATCTACGGAGTATAATAACTAATGATGCAAAACGGTAGTGGATTACATGTGGATATGGGTCATGCCCAAAACCAACTTCTACTGAGGGCTAAAAAATAGCAAGAACTTCAATTCCTTCCAGAGTTCCATGGATTGTTCTTGTTTTTTATTTCACCGTTCAACATTTCTTCTCTTGAAATGATCACAAACCCTTCTATAAGGGTTTGAGCCTCGGCCCAGCACATGAGAACATCCTATCTACCATCTTCAACAAATGGGACTTCTTCACCAAATCTCCACTACTACTAATAAAGCTGTAATCATTACTTCTAAACCCAAAAACATGACATTTAATTCACATCAACTTAAAAGATCAAGATTAACAAGAGAATTTATTTAGACAAAAATAGACTTCCAACAACAATTATCACAAGTTCTAGAGCAAAGTTATACAATAACCAGTAACTTTTTAGTCACAAATATACTTTAACTTGAAAAAAAGACATGACAGGACTACAAAATGAATTCAACATGTTATGCTCTCTATGACTTGGATAATTCTCATGCCCAATTGCATCTTCATTCGCTTGCTCATAATCTCATAGTTGTCCTCATCTGTCAAGGTATAAAAGAGTCATTTAGCAACATACTAATAAAGCTAAAATCATAACTTTTAACAAGAAATCCACAACTTCTAGCTCATATATAATGAAGAGCTCAAAACGATTAGCCACTTTTATTTTTAGTATTATTAGTGCATATATTTAGAGTGAAAAATGAAATGAAAAAAGAAACAAGGACAATCAAATGTCGTTTTTTAAAAAATGGAAAAAACATACTGTATAACTTTAAAGAAAATATTCATAACTTTTAATAAAATATTCACTACTTTTAACATAGATGCACTCCCAACAGTAACTGTTAAACCTTACCAATAATTATCAATATAGAGATGTCTAAAACAACAAATGCATCAATGAGGAAAACGAAATTTGTATCGAACACATCAGCACGAATGATATGCTAGCAGATCCTCTCACTAAAGGTCTTTCGCACAGTATAACTTGTAATCCAAAAAGTATAACTTGTAATCCAGGAAGCATAACTTTTAAACCAAAAGATAAACTTTTAGTAAAAATCCTAAGACCTCAGATCTTATACGCCCATATTTAGCACCAGTCTGATGTTCATTGGTTTGTTCAAAATTCTTCTCATTTCTAGAGGTGGGGAAAATCACATTTTAGCAAACTAAAACCATAACTTCTACCTTAACAAAAACTAATAAATTACAAAGCTTTAAAATATTATTTATGCAGCATAAATCAATTTAAGCCAAAATAAGCAACAAAATCACGAAGTTATGAATCTGTCATGTCGTAAGTGCAAATGAAAATTCTTGACTACATTCATTAATATAACAACTAGTTAAGTAAGCTTAACTTTTAAAACAAAACGTGTAACTTTTAAAACAAAAACTATAACTTCTAACTTAACAAAAACTAATCAAATCCAAATCCTTAAAATATTTATGTAGCATAAATCAATTTAAACCAAAATATACAACACGACCACTGAGTTATGAATCTGTCCTATCGTAAGCGCAAGTGACGGTTTTAACTACACTCATCATTATAACTACTAGTTAAGTAAGCTTAACTTCTAAAATAAAACTTGTAACTTTTATTTTCTGTTTTATCATTCTACAACTATGCGATCAAAATACCTTGGGAACAATCAGTAGCAAAAACAAGAAGTGTACCTCATACTGATTTTTAAATGTCTCATCAACATAACTACTACCTAATTAGGCTTAACCTCTAAAATGAAATCAATAACTTTTACTCCCTCCGTCCCCTTTTAAATGTCCACATTGTCCCCTTGGGATGTCCACATTTAATTGTCTCATACCTTATTTGGTAAAGTTTGTGTGGCTCAAAATCATTCTTACTTTACTCTTACTTTATTCTTACTTTATCAATTAATATCAACCACACAAATCCACTTTTCTTAAAACTCGTACAACCCTCTTCCGAGACATTTAAAAGGGGGCGGAGGAAGTATTTTTCAATCTATAGATTGAGAAAATAACTTCAGCAAATTAAAATTACCACGATCAGAATTAAGAGCAACAACGTAACAACATATTAAACTAATGAGTTCCAAGGGAAAAGGAAGAATATATAAACTAAAATAAGAGTCACTATTTTAATCAATTAGAAAGTTTCAACAGAGGCATTGCTTATGCCCAAAAGGATGACCTTTAGCAATTCATCACAATCATAAATCATAAATCATTAACTGCGTGCTTCTAAACTAAAATCACAAGATATAAAGACTACTTATTAGATTTTAGGGTTTTGAGATTTACAAATTATGTAAAATTGAAGAATTTGAAGCTCACCTGCGAGATTTGATTAACCGCGCTAGAACTGTACATTGATATTTGCCGGAGTTTTATGTCGAGCAACCAAAATTCATCATTCCGCACAAACAAGCTTGAATCATTACTATACCTCTCTGTGCGGCCAGGTGGAGCATGGAAAAAGTGAAGAACACTGCCTATTTGGAATCCTGTGTGAACGACAGAGTAGCTCCAAGTAGTTAGAAACTACTACATCTTTGATTTAGATCTCGAGCGAAGAGATAGCAAAAACATAATCGAATTCAGCGATCTTCTTTAGACATCAACGAAGAAATCGGTAAGATCGAGCTTGTGACAGAAAAAAGGAAAAGAGAGGAGTCGATGAGCAGAATTAGATAAGGAGAGAGATGAGAAACTCTTAGTAAAAGGAATGAAACTAGGTATGCGAAATACGGAGTACTAGGTATTTAATTAGAAGCACTGGATAGCCGTAAGATTTTACCTGATCGGACGACTCCAATCACTTCTCATTTTTCAGTTTAAGAGAGCTTCTC